GGAAGGTGTGACGCTTCAGGAGGAAGGTGTGGCGCTTCAAGAGGAAGGTGTGACGCTTCAGGAGGAAAGTGTGACGCTTCAGGAGGAAGGTGTGACGCTTCAGGAGGAAGGTGTGGCGCTTCAGGAGGAAGGTGTGACGCTTCAGGAGGAAGGTGTAACGCTTCAGGAGGAAGGTGTGACGCTTCAGGAGGAAGGTGTGACGCTTCAGGAGGAAGGTGTAACGCTTCAGGAGGAAGGTGTGACGCTTCAGGAGGAAGGTGTGACGCTTCAGGAGGAAGGTGTCAGGAGGACGCTTCAGGAGGAAGGTGTAGGTGTGACGCTTCAGGAGGAAGGTGTGACGCTTCAGGAGGAAGGTGTAACGCTTCAGGAGGAAGGTGTGACGCTTCAGGAGGAGGGTGTGACGCTTCAGGAGGAGGGTGTGGAGCATTAGGACCAAGGCTTAGGAAGACAGTATTTCCATGCCACTTTTTTTATATTTATACATGAGGTACATCTGCATGTGTGCAGCTGCCCTAGACTATATGAAGTGGAGTACAGTGTGTCAACTGAATATTTTATCAGAGAGGGACCAAACTCTCAGGCGGCATTTATTGATCTCCAAACTGCTTTTGATACAGCAGAGAAATAATCTTAGAACAGCTAGCCTCTTTTGGAGTTAAGGGAAGACTGTTGACATGGCTCAGGGGTTACCTGAGTAACAGAACCGCCTCAGTCCTTTTCAAGGGGGTCAAAAGTAAACTCTGTGCACCCTTTGAGTTGGGTACACCCCAGGGTGGAGTGCTAAGTCCTACACTGTTCAATGTTCTGATGCATAAATTAACAATTGATATTCCCACACTACCTGACGAAGCCGTCATTTGTTATGCCGATGATATATGCATTGTTGCAAATTCCCAAACTAGACTGCAAGCTGTACTTGATTCACTCGCTGCTAAAAGCATTGAATGTGGTCTTGTTATCTCTATAACTAAATCCAGAGTTCTCCATCCCCAAGAGAATGGATCTCTGCTGTATCAAAAGCAGTTTGGAGATCAATAAATGCCGCCTGAGAGTTTGGTCCCTCTCTGATAAAATATTCAGCAAAGCAAGTTTGTGTACTTCTTCCAGGAAGGAAACCACACAGGTTAGGGGTGTTGGAAATTCCCAACACTGATACATTCCTATTGTATCATAATACATCACTATTGTATACTAAGTACAGTAACTCTACTAACTGTAGTGCTAACATAAATTAATATTTCTCTATCTGCGCGTCATTTACTAAAATTCTCACGACATCGAGAGGCATATTGCGTCAGATAATGTCTAGCAGGACATTATTATTCAATTCTCTAACAGGTTGGTAATAATTTTCTCAACTTTTATCAGTATTCTTTATAAGAATTAATCTCTGATAATATTATGATTAGTGATTCAATAATCACGAGTTATTAACTTAAATTGTCACTATATAACAGTTTTATCTGTTATATCCAAACGCTATGGAGGAAATAGAAATTCTCTCCATTTCTCGATTAACACCATTTAACGAGAATATAGATAATATTTAATTCCCTACAATTGCAACCATGTTATCATTAACGCATTACGTAAAGTAATTACACGAAAACAATTTTCTGTCCTTACTAAATTCTATTGCGAATGCTTGAGAGAGGGTTGAGGGAGACGGAAGTGTGGCGACGCCATGCAGTAGCAAACTAACTCTCGCAGGAGTAGCGACGCTATTCGTAGCGACGCCACCAGAATTGCGACACGAGCGTCTGGGGAGAGGCAAATTACCAATAATTCTACGCCAGGCCCTTGCTATTAATCGGCCTAGTAGCGATCCAAGGATTGCATCGGTGGACAACCAGCAAGTTAAGTGTTCTCATAATTTTAACTGAGCTCTTTTAATTTATAACACTGTCCATCGTTACACCACAAGACCTCCCCAAACAACAAGTACGTCCGTAAGGAATTTGCTCTGTCCCTCCCAATGAAGAGTGATGACACAATTTATCTGGTATAGACAATTTGTACATTTAGTTGGAATTTCAGCCTGTGTTGAAGCGGCCGTGGTCTCCTCATTTTCCACCGCCACGCTCGGGGCCCACGTGTTACACCAAGTACCAGACGACGCCATCACGACTCTGCATCTCCGTTCACTATCACAGCTAAGCAGCTGAATTAGTTCAATTTAGTTTATTTCATTACGTGACGGTAGAGAACTAGTAGTCATCTAAGAATATAAATTTACATGATTTAGGAAACCTAGTACAATTTGATAGCCTCGTGAACTTTAAATGATGATAATTTCTTGTTTAACCATCATATAATATTCTTGCTACTAACCAATTTATTTAATGTTTATTTGTTTATACCTTAGTAAGAGTTATTAATTTTATTCGAGGAAGAACCAGCCTCGATGAAGCGTTCTGGGAGTATTGTACTTCTGTTATTAACCCCCCATTTTGTGAAGGACGGAAAGTTTATTTTCGAACATTAATTTAATTTACAATCCATTAAGGTTTAAGGAATAACTCTTACTAGTTATATTATCCACAGGCACTGGTATTCAGTCCTTGTTTATTGTTCATTTATCTGTTTCCCTTTTCAGTAAAAATAGGGTGGTCCTTCGATTAATTTAAATCAATTAATTAATTAGACATCAATTAATAAATAGAGTAAGCGTTCTTCTCAACAAGGGGCAAGGTGGGGCTTAATTTGAAACATTAGTCTGTCGAGTATAATCCTCTCAAGAACTTTACATATACACGACGTCAGAAAGATGGGTCTGAATGTTTGTGAATTAGGCTTGGGTATGGGTATTATGAGTCCCTGTCAGTTTTAAGACTGAAGGCTGTGGAAGAGAGTCGAGACAGTTACAACACGCAGCCTACTGCCCTACACACACACACACACACATTTAGGTACAAAATTAAGATATTTTAATATTAAATGTATAATTTTGGAGGCAAAGTATATTGAAAATCGAAATCGAGTTCGGATGCTTATCTTAAAGGACTTTTATAAGATATTGGCTATGATGAATTAGATATTTTTTGTCTTTGGACAAGTGAATATAGCATTGTTTGCACGTGCAGAGGACTATATAGTATTCCATTATAAATAACTTCACTACAAGTGAACGGGGGGTTAAAATGGACTTGGAGGATATCCTTTAGTATCCTTGATACCTGGTTGATACCTGGTTGATGGGGTTCTGGGAGTTCTTCTACTCCCCAAGCCCGCCCCGAGGCCAGGCTCGACTTATGAGAGTTTGGTCCACCAGGCTGTTGCTTGGAGCAACAGCCTTCGTTCCTATACGTGTTCCGCATTTTAGAAAAAAAAAGCAGTGGAAAAATACTGAGTTCGTTGGATACTATTCATCATATGTAGGCCTGCCAAATAGCATTTAACTTCAAATAAAATAATAATACATTTTCATAATATAATTTACATAATAATAATAATAATAATAATAATTTTCATAAATAATAATACATTTTCATTTTTCTCTTACACTTAATTATATATTCTTTCTTTTATTTCTAGAAATAATGGAAACTTAAGTCGATTATTTAAACAGACAGTGGAAATAGGCATAGTCTACCGAGATTGAAAGAAGCCTAATATAAGTCTAATGGCAATGTGTTCAACTCATTAACTTGTTTTGTTAATACTTTATGCAACTGTGAGCTCAATATGTAGTATTAGAGTAGCATTAAGCCACTTTTTCTACTATTTTTGTATAGTCCCGAAAAAATAAAGCTAAAACCCAAGTTGAAATATTCCTAGGCCTAGTATAGCACACATATGTACTATATTAGGCCTCAGGTTGCGAGTATTAGACCAATAGGACGGTTAGGTTAGATTTTATTAGCAACATAAATATAAACACTTTTCCTGTTTATACAAATTCAGTGCAACAAAAGTCTACTTTTCTTGTGGTTAATGCCATATATATATATATATATATATATATATATATATATATATATATATATATATATATATATATATGTCGTACCTAGTAGCCAGAACTCACTTCTCAGCCTACTATTCAAGGCCCGATTTGCCTAATAAGCAAAGTTTTCCTGAATTAATATATTTACTATAATTTTTTTCTTATGAAATGATAAAACAACCCTTTTCTCTATGTATGAGGTCAATTTTTTTTTATTGGAGTTAAAATTAACGTAGATATATGACCGAACCTAACCAACCCTACCTAACCTAACTTAACCTATATTTATAGGTAAGGTTAGGTTAGGTAGCCAAAAAAAGCTAGGTTAGGTTAGGTTAGGTAGGTTAGGTAGACGAAAAAACATTAATTCATGAAAACTTGGCTTATTAGGCAAATCAGGCCTTGAATAGTAGGCTGAGAAGTGCGTTCTGGCTATTAGGTACGACATATATATATATATATATATATATATATATATATATATATATATATATATATATATATATATATATATGTCGTACCTAGTAGCCAGAACGTGCTTTTGAGCCTACTATGCAAGGCCCGATTTGCCTAATAAGCCAAGTTTTCATGAATTGTTTCTCGGCATCCTAACCTACCTAACCTAACTTTTTCGGCTACCTAACCTAACCTAAACTATAAAGATAGGTTAGGTTAGGTTAGGTTCCTTCATATATCTACGTTAATTTTAATTCCACTAACAAAAATTGACCTCATACATAATGAAATGGGTAACTTTATCATTTCATAAGAAAAAAATTAGAGAAAATATATTAATTCAGGAAAACTTGGCTTATTAGGCAAATCGGGCCTTGCATAGTAGGCCGAGAAGTGCGTTCTGGCTACTAGGTACGACATATATATATATATATATATATATATATATATATATATATATATATATATATATATATATAACTCTATTGTACAAGATTACATGATTACAAAATGTGGCCTTAACACATACACAACATGTTGTGTTCTCACAGTAGCAGGCTACACCGCTGTTTAAAGCAATCTAGGTCTAACCTCTTCTTCAGCTGTCTACTGAAAACTTAGCCACACGTAATGCAATGTCATCGACAGTAAGCTTTCGGAACTGTTTTTCTGGGTTGTGAGCCTGAAGCTGATGACAGTAAGCATGTCTTATCGTTAACTTAATAGGCAAGTATAGCCTCGCCTTGCATAACGCATGTATTTTATTAACACATTTAGGTACAGTTGCATTTGTGCTGCTGCCCTAGACTATATGAGGAGTATAGAGTGTGTCAAGAACTAGCTGCCCTAGACTATATGAGGAGTATAGAGTGTGTCAAGAACTAGCTGCCCTAGACTATATGAAGAGTATAGAGTGTGTCAAGAACTAGCTGCCCTGGACTATATGAAGGGGGAGTATAGTGTGTCACAAAACTAGCTACGTGATGCTAAAAATCCCCATCACACAGGATGGTTAGTCATACAGAAGCACGTGATAGGCAGTCTGCACTGGTAGACTCGTGTGCATTATGAGGATATTATCAACCCAAGAGTGAATAAGGTAGCAGTGGTACTAAAAGTCCCTATCTCGCAGGATGGGTAGTCATACAGGGCCTTATGTTTAGTAGCCTGCACTGGCAAATTTTGGGTGCACTTTGAGGATATCTTTAAGAAGACGAGAGTGAATAAAGTAATTCCGAAGCTCCAGGTACCTGTGCATACCACGCATGTGCATACAACACATGTGCATACCACACATGTGAATACATCACATGTACGTAATCAAAAGTGCTAGAAATCTCAGCCACGAAGCTGTAGCTAAAACAATGTCAACGTATCAATTACAATCAATAATAAACCAAAATTAGCATTCCTATATAAAAAAAAAACTAAATTAACAGGAAAAATATCTTGCGTAATGCAGATTAACACCTGCACGAGGGGCTGGATCACAGCGACCTCCGCTGATCACTGTACTCCTATATTGAATAAAAGGAGTATTCATATAGGAGTATATAAATACTCCTATATGAATATAAGCACCCGAGACACCGTGTATGGCTTACATACAGCATACGCGAGGAGCAATTTGCAATTAGCGTCAATATTCTGATTGGATCAGTAGGCTTCAGAAAGAATGCGGAGTAATGTATCAATGGGATCTCACGTTAAATTATTTTAAATTGGAAGATCAATACGTTAGGGATGGTCTCTATTACTCAATATTGGCAGCGGTGGCCAACCCGCGGCTCGCGACCCACATGCCGCGGTTTGGCCTTTAAAATGCGGCTAGTGAAAAATTCTAGGGAATTCAAATATTCTAGAAATTTCGACCCGAACCCAGAGGAAGAATCTTGCGGCTATATAAAAAGAGTTGCGATACCTACGGAAGGGAGTTCAGTATATGTGCAGACGTTGAACTGTGCAGTCTTAGCTCTTCAGTAGACTTCATATATAAATCTTATTTAAATAAAGTGTCTATGAAAACTTTGTGAAGGAAGATGGCTTCAACAAGCCATACAACACAGCCAACAACTAGTAATATTTGTTCGTTATGTTTCCTCTGATGTGACTGTGAAAGAAGATATATTGGACTTAGTGGCAATAAAAGAAACAACTGGCGGTAAAGACATTAAAAATGCGCTTGACAGAACCTTAAGAAATGCCGATGTTGTACTGAATTAATCCGTCAGTGTTGCAACAGACGGAGCACATGTATTGGTGGGGTTAAAAATGTAGCATTAATTGCACTTATGAAAAGTGACCTCAGCTTTCCAAAGTTTCTCCCTGTTCATTGCATTATTCATCGTGAACACCTGGCACCCAGATACTTCAAGTATGAAGATGTTATGAAAGGTGCCCGTGAAATTGTCTATTTCATACGCGCAAATGGGAATTAAGCCCCACCGACCGTTCAGAAATTTCATTAAAGAATTGGAGCTTGAGGCTAACTCTAGTGACGTCTCTTACAAATCTGTCTTTGTGATTATTGAAACTAATACAAATTAACAGTTTAAAAACTGCATGCATGAATATATTATATTACATTTAATGTGTATTTTTTTCATTTATATAACAAATTTTTTAACAAAGTGTATATGTAAGAATAGAAACGTAAATGTAAATTTTGTTCATGTGGTGCGGCTCTCAAACATCTAAAGCTTTAACATCTGTGGCCTTACAAAACGCAAGTTTGGCCACCTCTGCTCCCCCTGTGGAGTCCTTCCCATATTGGTCTCCGAATGCATGATAGAACTGATGAGTTGGCCAAGACTTTTGCTCATAAAGAGGGAATTGATTACCAACTTGGACTACCTTTGAGCAGCCTGAGGGCTGTAATATTCTGGGAACATCAACACAATCTCGTAGACTTGAGGCAAAGTGAAATTCACACCAGTTGCTCCATCTTTCATCATTCTATTATGCATGAAGTACCGCACGTCTATGGGTCATCCAATAAGGTTAGCAGACTTCTAGATATTACCACTGCTAGGCTTAGGCTCGGCTACAAGTACCTCTGGCAGTTTACACCACCTGCTGATGTAGACTTGACTAAATGTAAACTCTGTCAGCAGAACTATTCGCATACTTTGCGCTAATATATACTGGAATGTGAAAAAATCGCGGAATTCAGAGATAACACCATCAATGGTGTCTAAAAAATGTGTAAGTACTTCATTCATAATGATGTGCTGCCCGAAATCTTAGCGAAGTATTCAAAACTTGCTTACTGTAGGTCATGCATGCGCATGACTGCAAAGCTGCCGCCCAGTTGGGTGGGTGTGGAGCACAAGACTGTGAAGCTGCCGCCCAGTTGGGTGGGTGTGGAGCACATGACTGCAAAGCTGCCGCCCAGTTGGGTGGGTGTGGAGCACATGACTGTAAAGCTGCCGCCCAGTTGGGTGGGTGTGGAGCACATGACTGCAAAGCTGCCGCCCAGTTGGGTGGGTGTGGAGCACATGACTGTAAAGCTGCCGCCCAGTTGGGTGGGTGTGGAGCAAGACTAGTAACTGTGTGACTCACCATAGATGTAAAGTGCCTTGTATAGTGACTGTTGTGAGCCTCTTCTTGAATCATTTGTCACACAAAAGATTATTTGTGTAGGTGAATAAATATGTATGTGTATGTATATATGTATGTGTATGTATATGTATGTATGTATATATGTATGTGTATGTATATATGTATATGTATGTATGTATATATATATATATATATATATATATATATATATATATATATATATATATATATATATATATATATATATATATATATATATATATATATATATATATATATATATATATATATATATATATCAATTAAGCCCTGATGCTAAGAAAATAGTTAGAGGGATAGAAGCCCTAAACCAGAAAATAATAAATACAGAATATGCGGTCATATTCAATGAAACATGTTTGAAAGAAAACCTGCTGCCAGTATACACCAATATATATATATATATATATATATATATATATATATATATATATATATATATATATACATGTACGTATGAGTATGTGTACCTGTATATATATAACATTAATAATTGTGTAACTAGCGTCAAAAAATTGTTATTTGTTTAGCTAAACGAACTAGAGGGTTCAGTTCCTAAACCGATTATGTGCCTCTGTAATCCTTCACACCACCGCCCACGGGATGGGTATGGGGTGCATAATAAAAAAATTGAATTGAATTCTGCTCAACAGGCTTAGGCTACCTTCAAGAACTTCTGTACTTATTAATCAATGAAAATAGCTAAATTATTCCACCATTTCATCTCTAATAATATGAAACTTCCTATTGTGTAACAGGCTATGCGTATCATGCAACCCGTCCTCTTAATAGAACGTCGCATTTTGACGTATAGTTTCCCTAAGGCCAACAATTGTACTAGAAACTGGTAGCAGCTCGCGAAATTGACATACTGTCCCGTTTTCTGTTTTGGGTCCTCTGGTAGGGTAGGATAAGGGTACTTTAGTACGACAGTTTCTTGACGTTGGGGAACCTTAGACGAACGGTCTGGATCACGACACAAAACGATGAAATAAGAGTAGAGTCGCCGCTGCACGTTAAGGCATCGGGTGCGGAAATTAAAAAAATAAAAGCCTCAAAATGAGTACTGGGAAACAGTACTAAACCTGCCCATAAGCCTGGGCAGGTTTATGGGTACAGGTAGTAGATTATATTACCGTAAGATAACTTAGGTATATATATTCTGGGGTAAAACACGTGAAACAGGTTAAGTAGGAAAACTGGAATCAAAGTATGTATGTTTTCAAGTAGAAAGTTAACTCGGTTTCAGAAAGCTATAATAATCATCTGTAAAATTCTATCCAAAGTATGATATGTATCTCGTAGATTTTCAGTCGACATAGAAATATGTCTTCACTTCATCAGGGTCCAGAACGAATCATAACGTAGTCGCTTTATTGATGTGGGTTGGGTTATTAGTTTCAGCCCCGTCATTGTGATATAATCTGCATGTAGATGGGCTATGTATGGCGTGGAAGACATCTACCAAGCAAAAGGACAACTCACTTTATTATCGAGAATGTCTGTCTGTATGAGGAAGGAGGCCAGACGCTCGGGGCTAGCCTCATCCACTTCTGCAGGGTGGATAGTCTCCGATACGAGACGGACATTAGGCTGGTCTGAGTTGGTCCGATTAAGAGGGGATTGAGCCAAAGTGACCCTCCCTCCCCTCCAAATAATCAGTGAACGGTGGCTGGCCGAGCCTTTAGATTACTTTACATTTTCTGAGAGAAAAAGAGGGGAAGGAAGAGAAGGAGGGAGACTGGGGAAGAGAAAGAGGGAAAGGGTGGGAAGACAGGGAATGTAGGGGAAGAGGAGAGAGGCAAACCCGAGCACTTCTTCTAGTGAAAGAGTAGGACAGAATATGGAAGTGGAGGGATAATACAGTCTGTATGTTTCATAAATAATTAACCATTCTATACATTACTTTTAAAAACGAAATCATGAACGGGAATAATACACATTAGGACCTTATTTTTGCACATAGAGCAAGCCACCTGGTAAATATGCCAAGTGACAAAACCTTCATGTTTATATCACCAGACTTATTCCTGAGCAATTCTATTCTCAGACATGTTGTTAATAGTGAACAGTAAATTAATATACTTAATTCACTATCTGATGCAAGCCTATGTTCCAAAAGTTGGGAAGAAATGCTATTTAACTTGCATGAAATATGGACAAATATTCATGTGTATACTGATTCAAAACAAAGAAATATATAATATATAATATAGATATCCTAGAGATTTTTCCCACTAACGCTAGGCTGAATATGTTCAGTCACAACAACAATCGCAGTGAAACGTAGTGAAATAGAGAATAATATTCACATTTTATTTGTTGTTAGAATCAATTGTTCATTGTAAAGTGGGTTAAGGTATTAAAATTTTATAGTTAGACATTAAAGTTGATTTCGTGAATTTTCTGATGTTCAGTATTGAAAAGATATGTAGGAAAATTTAAATATTTTTATTTTATTTTTTTCTGACTGTCATTTGTATGGACAGCAAGAAGAGTGATTTTTAGCTGAGGCAGCGTTACAGGTCTTGATAGGAAGGATAACAGGCGGTGATATAACAAACTAGTTATAAATGTATGCTTTTGAAATATAAGTGTCACAAAATTATATTTCTATACATATGCAATGTTTACTTTGTAAATATAATGTATAGATGAAAAATAATTAACTACAACTTAATAAAGTGGTCAGTTTTCGTGGACATCTCTATATAATCGGTGTGTTGCAGTTGGTAATCTTATGGTGTAAACACTTC